GTGGCGCGTCACGAGGGCTACGTTTGGTGCGGTGTCAGTCCGTTCTCCATCATCCGTTGCCGCTTCTGCTCAACAATTGGTGAAGAACAGGCTAGTGCTGTGCCAAACCCAGCCCCCCCCCCAAGACGCCCCAGCATTCGCGGCGAGCAAGACTGTATCAATTATTAATACTAGATATTTCTACGGAAGAGGTGCACGCCATTTGTCACTAGAGCTCCAAATCCACTTCCATACCATTGATCTCATTTCTAGTTTCTTCCTTTTCCAACAATTTAGGCAAATTTGGGAAACATGCTCGAACCACTTGTGTCCATGCCTTCCTTATGTTGGCATCGCTGAAAACCATAATAAAATTAGTGTTAGAAGTAAAGGACTATTGAGTCCATCCTATATACATCATGTCAGAGGAAAAGAATTCTCAATGAGCCCCCCCCCTCCCCTCCACCCCGGCTGCCCTCTTCGTCGAGCTGGGGAAGTACAGACATACTATCAACTATCCAGTGTGGGACAAATCGGGACATCACCGACCCAACTGGCAGAATCAGGTTCATTGTTGTTTTGAAGGCAGCACGGGTCATGTTTCAAGGGGAAGCCTTTGGCTGCCTACTGTCACCGGTTATTAACTACCGTCTTCATCACCGGCCAAGCCCAGTACTGCGGGAGCGGAAAGCGACCACGCGATTATTTTTGAGTGGAATACTGCCATCTGATAAATGGTCACAGATGTCGGCGCTATTCATTTCAGAGGGAGGGGTATATATTCTGAATTTGTGTCTAACGATAATAAGATTCGCTGCCATGATTAGAAAGGGAATAGAGCGGACTGCTTGTGCCGTTGATCGACCTTTTTGGCATGCGGACACGCATTCTACTTCCATTCAGAATCGTAGTGGCTTATTGAATGCGATGTGGCCTATACAATGACTTGCGGGGCCAGCCGATGTACAAGTCAGTGTTTTATCCTCCCAGACGAATCTGGTACCAATTTACCGTCCCCGGAGGGTAAAATGCTTGGTTGGCCTGGCGAAAACCGATCAAAGACTTGATCCCCGGACCATGTGCTTGGTAGGCAAACCAGTTGCCGCTACACCTCTCAACATATTGCTCTGAAAGGCCTTGAACCGAATAGGATTTCTCCCCAAGTGGAGAAAACTGTAAGGATGCATCTAAAGTTAATAACTTACTTATGTTCTAAGAACCACGGTACATCCACGGCGATGTTGAGAGTAGATGTGTCTTCTGACCAGAGACCGGGTATTGCTGCCAAATCCACATCTATTACATTCGAACTGCTTCACGTGATAATGCGCTTTTGCGTGCATCACAACGCCGACTAGACCTTTTCCATCAATTATTCGATTGCACAGCTGAAACCCAAACTTGACAAGTAGGAGCTATACAAGTGCAAATTCACAGGCAGTTGGCACGATGACTGGGGCGGGTTGTTGCTGCCTACGTCACTGGTAAAAGCGGCTGCGGAGATTGTTGTTCATACCGACTGCTCACAGGCCTTTCGGCCAGTGACTGAGTTGGCACCAGTATTAGGTCCGCACCAAGCATTGCGCTTACGTGCTTTCGGGCGAGCGCTTGTCATTCTAACACAATAAAGCTTCGATGTCTTGCGCTGTCCAGAGGTTTCATTTCTTATCTGAATTGTGTAGTAACATGTTCCAAATTATTTCAAAAACTTAAGAAGATACCAAATGTCTCGAAGCTCTTCAAAATTATTTGTGAATGAAGCAAGATAGATATTTATTTTATAGAAACCTTTCGAGACTGTTGCTGTCTTTGATTTGTTTAAACTTGCTTGGAGTTTCTCAATTGTTTATACATCTTCGCAAGAAAGTCTTGGATAGCTTTCGGCGTATTCATCTGGTCCTTTTGGCGGTATGTCCTACTTCTAGGCACACCACTAATGTCAGCACATACTGTATAATTCGGCGGCTGTTTGCGTTAGTTTCCATTTGATCATGCTGATTTTGCCGATATAAGACGAATTTGTGAACTGACGAGAATTTAGTTTCCCCTCCAGTACAGTGGCTACGAGTCAACGAGACCACTGAGATATTGGCTGACCCGAACGGAAGCTGACCCTTTATTCGACCCCGGACCAGTAGGTCAGCGGCGCCACATAGCACTATACCACCTTTGCCCCTGAAACAGCATATAGTCATGAGAATGAGTTCCAAAACGTTAGAAGTAGGCAAGAACTATGGTGAATGAAGCCTAGTTAACACATTCCGGACCGCGTCACACTCATGCGCAGTCAAACGTCCTTTCTTTTCCGAGCTAACACAACTAAGCGCAGTGGGCAGCATAGCGCCAGGATTTTAGTTCTTAGCAGGGGTTTTGTTGCTATGTTATTTTGATAGTGTTATTTGTTATACATCTCTGTGCATATGTGAAGTCATGTATGAAGCAGAAAGGTGAAAAACTCAAAAAGAGATGATATTCAATAGTTTATTTGCAGAATATCTGAAAACAATATTTTAACAATTCACAATAGACTCTATTTACACTTATTTATGTAATACATTGCGAAATAGCAACATTTCTCTGCGAAAAAATTATTCGTGATCACAGCGTTTGAGATAAGGTACTGTAGCCTTGTTCGCTGTGGACGAAAGGGCGTGCCAGGCGAAACGGGTTCGGCGTGGCGCCAAACCCGTCTCTAACTGTTGAAGCGAGCAAGCGAGAAGGCTGTATCATATCGTTCGTATCACTCGTTTCACACAGTTGTCGCTCAACCGCTACAGCAATGAGCAACTGA